TATTCTGACTCTATTTTACTACTTTATTCTGACTCTATTTTACTACTTTATTCTGACTCTATTTTACTACTTTATTCTGACTCTATTTTACTACTTTATTCTGACTTTACTACTTTATTCTGACTCTATTTTACTACTTTATTCTGACTCTATTTTACTACAGTAGACTGGGCTGTAGCTGCTGACAGCTTCAAAACTAATAATGAACTGAAATTTAGGATTTAAAAGTTTAAAAGCATTATTTGTCGTCCACCAGAGGCCAGACTTGTAAAGGATAACGAGATGTGTCCAAGTCTCTGTTAGCAAAATATCCAGAGCTGTAAAGCAACTAAGTACAAATACTTAGTAGAGGTTTTGTGTTTCTGCACTTTTCTTGAGTAATTATTTTTCAGCCTACTTTTTACTTCTTACATTATAAAAAGACAAGAAGTAGAAAGTTGTTACTTTTATTTTATTTTTTCTTGTTTTAATTACAGCTTCTTATTGTAAAAAATAAAAACTATCCATATAAACTAGGGGTGTAAGAAAATATCGATACACTGAAATATTGCGATATTTCATTTCCTGATACTGTATCAATATTCTAAAGCCCTGTATTGATTTTTTATTAAGGTTTAAAACGTCAACTTTCCTGCCAACCGTTCATTTTTATGTTGTAGTTCAGCCTCTGACCACTAGTTGGCAGCAGTGAGCCAGACATTTGGCTCCTCTACCTCTTGAGCGCCAGAGAGTAAGGGTAGCATTAGCATTGTAAGTAAACATTAGCTTTTCTTTTTTTTTCAGTAAGAGGTTTTTATTTCATTGAATTTTTGGACAAAAAAAATTGCAATATATTGATTGTTTACAGTATCGCAATATATCGGGATATATCGTATCGTGACCCCTCTGTTATGATATGTATTGTATCGCCAAATTATTGCCAATACACAGGCCTAATATAAACTGTGTAACTGTTAACTTTTACCAAAGTAGTTTTTGTTAAGATACTTGTACTTTTACTCAAGTATCAGTATTTTATAAAACTCTGAAAATATCCCACAAAACTATGAGTCCTATTTAAATTTATTATTTATTTGGAACAAACCCTTTCAGATTTGGACAAATCAAACGTCAGGTCAGTAAATTTAAAGCTCCGCCTCCTCGACCACAACACAACCATCGACGTCGTCTTCAACTCGGTTTACAAAACATTTGATGATTTTACGGCTGATTTATGTGAGCGATTCTTTTCAAGTGATCTTGTTTTCAGTCACCTGCTCCACCATCGTCTCCTGTTTCCATGGTGACAAACGGAGGACAGGAAGTGTTCACATCTTTCCAGGAGAAAATCAATTTATTTTTAGCATCGGTTTCTGCTCGTCAGTTTTTCAAACACACCAACGCATGATGTTCAAAATCCTTTATAAAAATGTATTAATTTGAACTTCTGAGAGTTTTTCTGTTGGTTGAACCTGTTGAAGCAGAGACAGGAAGTTGTAAATAACTGCCAGGAATTATAATCTGTTATAGAATGATGTTTAATCCCAGGACGTTTCATGGCTTTTTACAGTTAAAATAAGTAAAAAGATGGAAATTCTGAGGCTGCATGTTAAAAAAAGCTTTAAAACAAACAAGAATATTTGAAAATTATATAAAATGATGAAACATTTGTTTTGTGATTTTTATAATCTGCAGCCCTGAAACAACCGTCTGTATCGTGTCTGTTTGAGCTCATGTTCAGGAGTTTGAATAATAAACTTTATTAATGACAGCGTGCAGGAAGGAGCAGGATTAGAAAGTGATGTTTAGTTTCCTGCAGCCAGATTAAACTTCAGATTACAGCGAGGGGAAACACTGAGACGTGCTGCAGAAAAAACAAACACACAAACTGAACTTTAACTTGTTTTTTTAAACTTTTTTTTTTTGCAGAGTCACAGCTGCAGCCGTCCTGATTACACAACTGAAATAGCTCCAGTCCAGATGCTGACAGATGTTTTTCATATTAAAACACTTACTTTACTTTTTCACTTCGTGCAGTCATAAAGATTAGTCCCAATTAGTTTTCAGGGCTAAAATAAAAACAATTTCATGTTAATATTTCACTTTTTATTTCACAGATTAATGAATCATTTTTAGGCAAACTGAATCTTATTCAAGCTGTTGTTTTGTTCATATCCATCACTGAAGTTTACTGTGTAAATCTTGTGAAAATAAATGTATATTTAGCTTTTTGAGTCAAAACTTTTGTTAAAACCTGTTTATTGTGTAACTTGTGTGCAGATTCTTCACATTTTTTCAAGAAGCAACTGCACATTAAATTAATATTTCTTACTAGAAGTCCCTGTCTTCAGTTTGACATGGCCTCCACCGTGCTGCAGCATTTCCTCTGGAATAATCTGGATTATTTGTGGAGGTGACCTCTGGTTTCCCAGGAGAATAAAACAGAACGATGATGTAATGATCTGAACTATTTCCTGCAGAGTGGCTCCTGTCCACCTGATTTAGAGTTTGTGGGTCTGAGCACACAGAGGACACAAACTGCTCATCATCTGTTACTTTAACTAATGACACAGTTTAAAACTAAACAACCACAAAGTGACGTCATCTGCCCTAATCCAGCTGTTTTCATCCAGAGATGAAGGTCAAATCCATCAGCGAGCTTTATAAACAACAATCAGCAATTATAGACAAACTGATAAACTAAAAATATGAGTCAAAATAAATGAGTAAAAATAGTTTTATTTTGAAGTTTCAACAGATAAAGTTCATATATAATGCATCGTTTTATTTTATTTTGCTAAAACTCATAAATTGAACATAAGAAAAACTAATTTACCCAGATAAGCATCATTTAGCTGCAGAGATTTTAAAAATAAAAGCCTTCCTGACTCACCTGTGCGCTTCCTGGTTCTGTGGACCTGGTTCTGTGGACCTGGTTCTGTGGTGGACCTGGTTCTGTGGACGACCTGGTTCTGTGTTCCAGTTCTGCTGCTGTCAGTATTTATAGTCTAACGGGAAACGGGAACGGAGCGCTGCTGCATCCAAAGCGTCAAAATACCGGAGTAGAAAATCAACTTCCGGTGAGACTCTTCAAAATAAAACAACTTTCACGTTTAGTTTATGTTAAAACAATAAAAAAAACATAAATTTTAGTGTATTAAAGCAACAATTAGCATTAAGAAATATTTTAGTTATTAAATAATCTCAATGTAATGTTTATTTTGAAAACTAGCTCAGCGTCAACATAATTCTTACTTCCTGTTTCAGTAACAGATTAGTAAAAGATACACAACACATGTATCTTCAAACAAGAAAGACTAAAGAGGCTGGAAGTCACTTTTAACAAGATTAATAGATTCTGAAGTCTTCATAACTTGTAAGGTTTCTGGTTAAATGCTAACATATGTTAGCTAGTAGCTAATGCTATCTGTAGGTCTTAGTTTATCAAAACTGCTGCTGAACCTCCCCTTAAACTAAAATGAAATGTTTTAACTTTCAGCACAGCTATACAAGAAGATGTGACCTTAAAAGGAGTTAGTCTCAAAATGCTGGTAAGCACATTTTGTTGTGAATGTTACCTGTTGTTGTCTTGGGTTTCTGACAATACGCTAATATAAGTTAGCCTGTTGCTAATAGCACTACTAGCTTAGCCTCTACTTCAAAACGCCTGCCTAACCATAAACAAGAAAGAAAATTTGTTTTAACGTTTAACAGAAGCTTCACGAAATGTAACTTTATTTAAAAATGATAATTAAATATGCTGGTGGTCTTATTTTGTTGTATTTAGAGTTAGTGAAGCCATAAAATTAATGTTAGCTTTTTGTTCAGTTGTGGGTAAAAATACATCAGGATCTATATTTACTTTTTCTAGAATGAACAGTAAAGTCAAAACAAGTTCCCACCTAATTTTAGTTACTTTAAGATAAAAATCTACTAATTACCCTAATCTGAATCTGCTTTTCAACCATTACAAAAACAAGCCTTTATTTTGAAATGAAATGTGTTTCCTGCAGCTGTGATGTGAGTCTCCTTTCACTTCATCGTCTTGATGGTTGAGGACTTTTCCACAAGTTTTCCTGATTTCCTGGCAGGAGACAAAGCTCCTGAGCACAGAGACAAATATCTGAGTCACTCAGTGAGTCATCATTTAAAATCTGTTTTTCACCAACCTGCACACAAAACACAACCTGCACACAAAACACAACCTGCACACAAAACACAACCTGCACACAAAACACAACCTGGACCTGGAGTTTATCACAGGACTAAGTGAAAAAAGAAACCATGAAAGCTCAGACTCATTATTACACAGTCAGTAAACAGGTTAGCATGTTTTTGTTATGAAGCTACACATGTTGATTAGCTTAATGAACCTACAGAAAAACATGCTGCAACTTGTTTACTCTGATTTTTAGGGTCTTATTTTGGTCACGATGCTCCCATAACGTTATGCACAAAACATAAACTCAGTTTAAAAAATCCTTTAAAAGAAAATGGATGTTGATGAAAACTATCATCAGCTGGTAAAAAGTTTAAAAAATCATGATGAAAACTATGTACGCAATAAAGACTAATCGTAACTAAAGCTTTCAAATATCTGTTGCAGTCACATTTATTTTGAAACAAAGCTACCAGTGAATATCAGGCTTCATAACTAAAATAAAAAGACCAAGAGTTGCATTTTTAATACTCTGCTTCTGTCACAATATTTAAATGGAGTCATTTACTTTGAAAACTGTCTGCAGAAAGAAGAGAGCTGATCAAACAGGTCAAAGGTCAGTGACAGTCCATCTGCAGAAACTTCCTGTAGGGTGACAGGAAGTGTTCAGGATTTATAAAACACTGATCAGTTAAAAAAATCAGATTGAAACATTTAGTTTTAGTGTAAAATATTTGTTCATGGGTGTAATGACAAACTTTTAACACCAGGTGGCAGAAAATCCACTTCTGAAGTCCTTTAAAATCTCTGAAAAGTTTTAAGAATAAATTAATTTATTGATTCAAGGTTTCCAATGTTTGCATTTCTACTCAGGAGGAATTTAACTCACAAACAGGAGAACCTTTACAAAATTAAATACTTCAGAAGTTTAAATACTTTTTCTGTTGCTCCACACTCTCATCGTCTTTTAGCAACGTTAAAATGAAATAAGTTTGTTTTGAATTGAATCGTCTGAAATGTGCCAATCAAACACAGAGGAAACATGAAATGTTTCAGTTTATTTGTTTCCACAAATTTAAAAACGAGTGACCTCACAGAAGTCTCTCTGACCCTGCTGAGTGCTGAGGAGCCTGAAACTAAACTGTCAAAGCTAAAAAAAACAGCTAGTTAAAAGCCAAAAGTAGCAAAAGGCTAGCTGTGAACTAAAAGTACCAAAAGCTAGAAGTTAAAAATAGCAAATGACCAGCTAATAGATGAAATTACCAAAAGACTAGCTAAAAGCTTAAGGTAGTAAACAGCAAATCAGCAGAATGGCAGCTAAAATTAGCAAAAGTTAAGTAGTAGAAGGGTAGTTCAAAGCAAACGATCAAAAGGTGAGCTTCAAGATGAAAATAACAAAAGCCTTACTAAAAGCAAAAAGTAGCAAAAGACTAGCCAGAAATAGAAAGTAGCAAATTGCTGGCTAAAAGCTAAAAATAGCAAAAGGTTAGCTAAAAACTAAAAGTAACAAAAGGCTTGTTAAAAGTTAAAAGCAGCAAAACGTTAGAACTTAAAAGAGGCAAAGGGCTGGCTAAAAGATGAAAGTAGCAAAAGGATAGCTAAAAGCTAAAGGTAGTAAAAAGCGAAACTCAGCAGCTAAAAGTAGCACAAGTATAGGTTAAAGCTTAAGTAGCAGAAAGGTAGCTCAAAGGTAAAGCAGTGAAAGGCTAACTAAAATATCACAAAGCAACCTACAACATTAAAGTAACCAAAGCCTAGCTAAAAGCTAAACGTAGTTAAAGGCTAGTGCAGCAAGAGCTGTTAATCAGTGTGTAACTTTGTCGTATTTAACACAGAAATCACAGTTTGATAAAGTTTAAAGCAGTAAGTGTTTGTCTAAAAGTGACCAGGTTCACTGATGCTGTTTTTGTCGTTTATTGTTTGTATTTGTGGAGTTGTGTTTACTTCCTGACACACTGCGGATGCTTGGCTGCAGGGAAGCTAATCGTTATCAGACAGAAGTAAAGTCTTGGAGCATCTCGTGGTGTTTGTTCTGATTTACAGCTCCACCACAGTTCTCTGATCTTCTCACACAACATCACATTTTAATCAGTTGTTCAGGTCAACAACCAGAAATATTCAACAACAAACACAAACATGTTGCAACCATTCAGCCACTGGACAGACAAACACAACGTTTCTTCGCTCTGCTCAGGTTAGCAGCATATTAAAGCTAATTAAATGTTGTATAAACAGTTACAAACCTGTTTTTATTGAGTGTGAATGCAGTTTGGTCAGTTTTGTGACCCCAGCATCACTGAACCCTAATCCCTACCTGGTGTAGGGACGGAAGGAAGGAACTTCCTGTGTGGCGTGAGACACACAATCTGATTAGAGCCTAATTAATCCCACTGGCAGTCCTGTGGAAGATCTCCAAACATCTGGAACTCTGGGATCAATTTAAAAACCTTCATGTCACTTCAGGAATGCAGAGCTGAGAGAGTTACAAGTTTAAAAAGTAAGTTTAGTTTCTTCAGGTTGTAACGAGTGATGAACTGAAGGCAGCATCATGTTTGTCAGTAAATATCTCAACATTTTAGCTGAAACCAGTCAGGATGAGGAAAAACTAACCTGAACTACCTGGTCAGAGATGAGCAGCATCTGAAACTACTTGATTAAAGATAACCTGTTTTATATGTGCTGTGTTGCTTTAAATCTATCTTGTAGACTAGGATTATAATTTTATAAAGAAAGAGAGGACACACTGTAAATCAGAGTTTCCCAAAGTTGGGGTCGGGACCCAAAGTGGGGTCACGAAACATCAAGGTGGGGTCCTGAAAAGATTTTCTGAATTAATTACATTTTTGCCTGAGTTGTTACAAAGGAGTGAGGTTAGTATATTTAAAATGGATAAATGTAGTATAAAATATTGTTACTATGTCCATGTTTTGTTGACCTGATACAAATGTTTATCATATAAAAACAGTTGGGGGCTCAGGTCTCTGCTGCTGTTATTTTGTGGGTCAAAAGCTGAAAAGTTTGGGAACCACTGCACTTTGGTTCCCGAAGTTGGGCTTGGGACCCAATTATGGGTCATGAAGCACCTTGGATAATCTCCAGAAATCAGTTTAAAGGGTAATAAAATAATTGCTGATGTAATATTTTTCCTATAATTATTACAAAAAACACAAAATAAGTGAAAATAAGTATTTATATTTGTGTACTAGCTGTTTAGATAGTCAAAAAGCCTGTGTTTTTAGGGTTATTAACGAAGTTCATGTACTCAGACCAGTAATATTTGGGGTCACAAGTTTTTGCCATGGATATTTTGTGGGTCAGAAGATAAAAAGTTTGTGAACCACTGGTGTAAATAACCAGGATTAACAATGCATAAACTGCTTGTTTAAGATAGAAAACCTCTGACTCAGTCACTACATCCTCAGGATATTAAAAAACTCCTTATTTTAGTTTATAAATCTGCAGAGGGTAGGCCAATCATAACTTGCAGGGGCGGAGCCAGAGGGGGGCGGGACAACTGCCCTGGCCACCCTCAAATGACTGACAAGTGTTATTTGAAAGATGAGCAGATAGAGCCAAAAGTCAAAGTGAGTGAATATTTGTGAAGCAGCTGCTGCAGACTGAAGCTGTCAGTGAGGAAAATAACTGTTCTGAACCACTGAGTTCATAAAAACAATCATTGTGTATCAGTTGTGTGTCAGTTGTGTATCAGTTGTGAATCAGTTGTGTGTCAGTTGAGGCTTTAACAACCAGTTCATCACAAATGAGTGGTTAGCAGCTACCACTATGCTAATTTATAGCTTTGTTTGTCTAAAAACATCTGACTTTCTCTTTGC